GGGTGTCAAGCAGAGGTCAAAGCAAACCCTCTGCCTGTGAACCTCAAAGAGGATGGTTGAAAAAGGTCCGTGCATTGAAGATGAATAGTTATATAAGTGCATCAGCTCCAATACTTTGAGCTCAGTATATATACATTTTGAAAAAAGTACATCATCTCTCGGATGGTAAGGAGTTACAGTAAGGACAGTGAGGCCTCTTTTCCCACTGAAAGCGGTAAGGTCGCCACCAAGTCGGGCCGATTCGGCCTTGGGGCAGGGATCACCTGAAGGGGACAAAGCCCCTCTTTGGGTTTTAGAGGCCTTTGATTCTTCCCATGGGCGCACTTGAATGCACAACACTTTCTAAACAAACCTGGAGATACTGGAAGATATCAGCGCTTCAGCCGCTGGCAGGTGGTCTAGTTCTGAGATGCTTGGCTTTCCCGTTGATCAAACATTCCAACACCTCCAGGACAAATGTCCATTTGTGGGCCTACGAGCAAGGACTCTACTAGGGGCTCCTGGCCTTACTAGTAGTAACAAGAAGCTACTAGGGGCTCCTGGCCTTACTAGTAGTAACAAGAAGCTACTAGGGGCTCCTGGCCTTACTAGTAGTAACAAGAAGCTACTAGGAGCTCCTGGCCGTACTACTAGGAGCGATCGGACGCTACTATTCGTGATCCACAAAAGACGGGTCCTGAGGACCATTGGTCTTCGCCGGTGAAATCAATGGAGAAAGGCCAAGGCAGGGTTTCCCCTTGGCCGAAATGGAATCGCAGCACTGCACCGCTGGCGAATGTGGCATCTTTGGAGGCACAATTCATCTGCTTTCAACAATGCTTCTGTTCGATTCACTATTCCTTACAAATTAATAGCAGAGCGTTCTGTTGTTCAATCGCAAAGCCCTTCTAGTTACTGACTTGTGTGTGTGTGTGTGTGTGGGGACTGATTTCAATTCTTTAAAGGTCATTCTTTTCCATTCTCCTTTGGTGCAACATAGGGAGCCAAAAGCATTAAATCAAGAGTTTATTATTTTCAAGCCCGTAGGTTGACATGTAGGCGTCTGAAGAAGTTACTGCTCATTTAATTCTGTTGCAGGGTGATTTTTTGTTGTCTTGTTGCATGGCTTGCTGTTTGGGTATACCTTTGGAAACTAGGAAGCTAGAAAGGTTTGACCAAGGAGAATTAAGACTGTCTGATCAAGGCCACTGTTTGAGAAAGAGTTATCTTTGGATGTAATTCTTTTACAGTGTTGTTTAGGATGTCTGTTTGGGGTATACTGTTGGCAGATTAGGAGAATAGAATGGTTTGAATCAGGAAGAGTTGACAGCAGCATCAAAAATGCATGAACAGCAGGAATTAAATCTTGAGTTAATTCTTGGCCGAACAGCTGCAATGAAAAAGAATTAGACCCTAGAGGGAATTCTTTTATGAACCAAGACACATGAAAAGAATAAAGTCAGGAGTCGGTAGTTAATTCCTGGAGCTACCATGCCAGCAGACCCAAATGAAAAGAATTATATCAAGAGTTATAATTCGTTTGAGCTCTGGAAAATTATCCGTTTCCTGACTTGTGCAATATCTCTTCCGTTGTTTGCACAAATAGTTCTATGGTGCTCCATTACGCTTCATTGCTTGACTACTAGTGAGATTTCTGTGGCCCTGAAACCATCAGCTCCAACCTAGCAAGTAAAGTACTCTTCTTTTAAAACTTTTGGACCCAGCTACCCGGGGAGCGGCTTTGTTTTGAAACCAGGTCACCACTGGTGCTTTGACTTCTTGAAATCTTGCTGACACAATTGCACTGGAAGTATTCAAGCTGGTCGTTTTGTATCCACTCGAGCCTCTACCACTTGACGCACTGGCGTTCTCTGTCCAAGCTGTTACTTCTACTCATCCGTCTTTTTGTGCAGGATATCCCTGTGGCAGAAGGGAACGAAGGCATATCCATCAGCCTTGTAGAACTTGCTCTGGAATTCCTTGGAGTTGGGAAAATTCAACGACAACTACAGGAAAACTCCCCTGCTATTTGACCGGTGACCAAGTCCATGACCATACTTGGAACGTGTGAAAGGCTGCTGTTCCACCGAGGCACCACCCAGTGAAGTCTCAAAGTATGGAGGAAGCACTCCATGACATCCATTCCCAAGAGGACTCCAACAGTGATACCAAACCATGAGCCAAAGGCAAAGTACGTGGTGAAGATATTCAACGGAAACGGAGCAGACATTCCTCCACAGGCGCAAGACTCGCAAGACTGAACATGATGAGTCATGATTAGCAAAAACCCTTTGATCATCGACCCAGTGCCTCCCAGCATAGTCATTCCAAAGAAGACCAAAGACCTGCAGCAAATACCAAACTCTAGGCCCACGTGTGTCTGCGGAGTTGAACGATCATGTTGGCAAAAAGAAGTGGTGGGGCGGATCTGGTGCTGGGTATGTTTCCAAGTATGTCCATTGGATCCAATGCAAAAAGGAGTGCCTGTAGGTGTATTACTCTTTATACATGAAGTCCTGTTCAATTCTGCTGAAAGGAAAAGTTTCAAGGATGTGGCAGTTCGAGTAAACCTGGCATCGATTTGCATCAATATGCATTCCTGCAGTTTGCAACTCAGCTGGCTGCACAGACCTACAAAGAGAGTTGTACCAAACTCCCATAGATACAAGCTATTCTTGGTTCATGGTGGTTTTGATTGCCTCTTTCTGAGAAACTTTGGTACTCAGTGCATATTGTGAGCTGACGTTGACTTCATACATAGGTCCGTTAGAGGCTTGTTCGTTCTAACAGGTTAGTTGATGTGCTGCATATCCCGATGGTGGGCGGATCAATCCGTCTGCAAGCCACTTTCGACTCGTATGTACTAGTAGCGTCCTTGCTCCTAGTAGCGATGCCAGGAGCCCCTAGTAGCTTCTTGTTACTAGTAGTAAGGTCAGGAGCCCCTAGTAGCGTCCTTCTTCTAAGAATCATGAACTAAGTTCGCCGCTTCGCCCTTCCCGCCAGGGCACAACTGTTGGTGAGCCAAGGACAGCGCCCACAAACGCAAATAGGATGCTGTATGAGACACAGTGCCCAAGACATATTCGATGGTCTCAATAACCTGAAAATGCATCGAGCTCCGCTCAAAGGGTCCCTCAACCCTCAACACGCTTCAACTCTTCAGTGTCATGTGCACCGGCAAAGCAAAGCACAAAGCTGAAGAGTCTAGATCGAATCCGAACCGGTGGCGAATCCATTAAATGTTGGAGGCCCACCCTGCCTGATGGATTACGCACTCCATGAGGTCAAACTCTTCCTCTTCCTCTTCCTCGGAAAGCAAAGACTCCTCATCTAAAGACATATGCCCACCTGGCAGTTTCAAGGCAAGCAAGCAGCTTCTTTGAAATGGCTGGATATCTCTGGGCTAAAGGTTTCATAATGTGAAATTTGTGATATCACACATGTTTGTGCATGTTCCGCAAAACCACTCTGAACTCCCAAGAAAAAGGCCTTTGAGATCTGCGTCTGCACTGCGCTTTGATTGTGCTGCCTCCCTTTGGACTCTGGACTGCAAACAAAGTCATGCTCACCCTGTGCCTCTGCCATCCGGGCCACCGAAGCGCTGAGAGGTTGGTCTCTTCTGCACCTAGCCATGCTGCAAACTTCAAAATAAGGGATTTGACCAAATCACAGCACACACTTCAACAAGCAAACGCATGTGACAATGGGTTAAGGAGCTATCTGGGCTTTGCAAGCACATCCTAGACTAAACTGACTAAAAAAAACAAAAGGCAAACATCAGGGCGACTTCAACACAACAGGTGAGCCCCCCCCATGAAATCTTTTTGTGAGGATAATTGACTTCATTTTGGAGTGGATGTCCATAGTCAACCAAACTCTACCACTTGCTAACCTCAGGCCCGCCTGGTGTCGCCGATTCAGGATGATGGGCTTGGGAATCCTGGGCAGTTGAAAAGAAACCTGTATATATATATAATATATAGTATAAGGTGTTTGGCCTTTAAAGTTCAATTACAGCATATAAAGATCTTTGATGTTCCTTGCAGTGTCACAGGAATCTATATAATTGTGGAAACTAAAGTGTGACCAAGAACATCTGATGCAAACACCGAGCATGTTACTAAAGCAAAAGAACGAAAAGAAAACACCTAATCTGAAGCCACCTCTCAGAAAGCCCAAACCATGTGAGTGAATCAAATCTGCCAAGAGGCAGCATCCAGGGGACTGCCAACATACAAACCGCCATAAGTATCTGCGGCAGGATATGACCAAACATTGGGTTGGAGTCCTCCGACCACATCGCCATTGCCTCACTACAAACGCCTGTCACTGAAACTTGGCTGGTGCCAGTCTCCTCAAAACAAAGCATGCAAATCTTGCTATCTGGCCAAAGTCACGATCATGGAGTTGATGATGCTGGGAGGGTTCGCCATAGGAGTGACCCACTTGTAGAGAATCATGTAATCCATGAAACCGAAGAAGCTAATCATGAAAATCATCATTGGTACACATTCGCACGCAAAGTCGACCTGCTTAGCTGGGCATGCGAAAAAGAAACAACAAAACTGGATGCTCTTTGCAAAGTGAAAGGAGTGGGAAGCTTTGAAGAAGCTAACTGACAACATGACGAACCTATTCTCAAGAGTGGCCAAGTGACTTTGTTTTTCTCATACATGGCATTGCTGAAGCGCAGAAACAAACCCACCAGCATTTGAGTGACCCCAAGGACCACTGCCAACTTCATCTTCATGGAATTCAAGAACCTTAGACAAAATGCTTGTCGGATTTGATTCCACAAACAGTGACCACAGTGCAGGTGTCCCATGTGTTTCCAAATTCACCTTCTCAACCGAGCAGCACAAGCTCATTCTGTGCGCCGTGCCAAGCAGGATCTAGGCCAAAAGGATATGGACCAGGCCCTCCTGAGAATGACACAAGCTCATAAGGTATTGTCAATAGAACTCAAGATCTTTCGAGTGTGAAACGCCCAGAACTAGATACTGTCCCGAACACCTTGGCATTTTGACTGCGACTAACTGGCAGTACTCCGATTGACTTGGTCACTTTCCAGAGTCTTCCTGCCTCGATTCTCATGGTCAAATGTTGGCTGCATCGCTACCACTGATCCAGGCTTCTTCTCCGGGGAGATGGCCGGCTGGGTCCAGCGAGACTCAAAAAGGCTCAGACCAATCGAGAAGAAGTCGTTGTACAGAAAGCCTGCATACCTCGTAAAGAAAGGCACGTCTTGAGTTTGTTGGCCATCCCAGTGGTGGACCAATTATTCTGCCGGTTTAATTGTGCATAGAACGAAGCCCTTGTGCTGTGATAGGGCAGCGCTGTGGAGTTGCTCAAGAAGATGCAGCTTTGACGTGTAATTATGCGACTGTTTTGAGCAAAGGTTCACTGCGAAAATACCCATCATCAGCCTGAGCGCAAAAACAAGTATCTATGGTAGATCAAGATCAAAAGTGGTCAAAGTTTATCTCGAGCATACTTACAGTACAGTAAGTCTTTGGATCTGTCCATATCAAGGCAAATGGTCTTGTCACAAGTGAAAAAATTGCTTGGCCCAGTGGCAAGATGTATCGTCCTTCGTGCATCACTGGAAAGCTGAACTTCAACTCGTCCGACTTCCAAACCTCATTGAAACTGCAAAACCATGATATGCAAATATATGCAGCAGCTCTTTCCAAAGGCTTATTGGTGGGAGGAGTCTGCAAGAGCGGTTGGTGAATGGTTGAGCACCCTTTGGGCATGTTCGGCAAAACCGCAAGTTGCAGTGGCAAAACACCATGTTGATCCTGTTTATGGCAAAGTGGCTGCATAAAGTCCGACCGAGAGCAGCATTAGACCATGTCCAATGTCGCCATACATGACGCCAAAAAGGAATGGGAATGTCACCTCAGGCCGGGTATGTACATGTTTGTATGGCCAGGATCAGCAGCTGTTACATGCATTGAGAGATTGACATGCTGGCTCAAAAACTTGTACTGGGCAAAAGGTCAGCTCATCCATCCCAGCTTCAAGAAAAGTGACTATTGTAAAGAGCGCTGGGTTGGCCTCTTGGTATCTCGGAAGCCCATAGGTGTCCACTAGAACCTGCATTCAAAGCATGCAATTCACAGTCAGGACATCTGAAATGCTGAAACTAGAAACACCAGCAGGAGTACCAAAGCTACTCTGTAATACTGTAATATACTAAACACCTTTCAACTAAAAGTGTGCTTTGCCTTTCTCAACCTTTCCCGTGAACCTGAAATATGGCCGTGAACTCATTGACTCTTATGTAGGTCGGCGGTGATTTCCGAGGAGGAATCTTGTCAGGCACCAACATGGCACTGGAATGTCCATGCTGCGATGAGCTGTTCTGGATGCACATTGCCCGGATCCGATCCTCGTCCTACAAAGTTGAACTGGATGAATTCACAAGGCGGTGGTCTTGGGAAAATGTGACTGTCTGTGCCCTCTCCTCCTCAGGATACCAGCAGCTGGCCCTCAAATTCATGTTGCCTTCGAAAAGGTTTAATGTTGCATAGATGGACTTCTCCTTGATGCAGAACAGCCTCAAACCGGCACAGGGCCCTAATTCCAAAGTCTATACATTCCTCATAAAGGATGGGCCGTAAAGTACAGACAACTACTTGTCACCAGTTCAACTTGTGTTTTTTTTATCATCACTTAAAAGCTTGGCCGAGAGAAAATCTTTTGCAAAACCCATACAGAATAGACCGATAAGGCCACCCAAGATCCGTTTCAACCGAAATGACAACAGAATGGGGAGAACCCAAATCCTCCCAGATTCTGACCAACCCGAAGTTTTGCAAATTTCACCGGCCTCCACTCTTCAATGAGGGAGTCTCTATTTCGGTCCACGGGTTCCAGCAAGGAGGCAGCCTCCATCGCAGTTCGGGTGAGTCAACTGAAAGGAATAGCTGAGAAAAGCGACTCCAAAACCAACAAATTGAGTGTTCAATCGCCCCCTTCTAGCCTCGCTCTTCACGAAGTGCTCATGGGCTTTCAACAGCTTTTCTTGGTCCTCCACCTGCGCCTGGTCTGGGGGATATATGCTTTGAGGCACAGGCCTTCACCTTAAAACCTATGCACTCTTGAACCCACAGACAAGAAAGCAAGGGGCATACTTACTTTTATAAAATTTGGTCAGTGTTTTGCGTCCTGAATGGCAGTCAAAGAAATGTATGCCTCTGTTCAGCACCCTTTCAATTCCAGGGGCATCGCCAATCTTGAAAAGGAAGACACAAAAGATTCGGTCCGGATTCTTTCTATCTTCCCAAAGTTGAACTCTCTGGGCTGTTGCATTCTGTGATGAAACTTGGCCCACAAAGCGCCCGAGAACTGGGATGAAGATTCGACTGGTGAGCCCAAATGCCTTCAATTTTGTCGCCATCTCTTCTGCGGCACTTCGGCTGCTGGGCCATCGATAAGTATTCACCCCAAAGGAGCTGCAAATCCTTCGATCGAAAGAGAGTTCCCAAAGGACTACTAGTAACAAGGACACTGCCATCGCAAGTAGGTTGGAGGCCATCGCTACTGGGAACAAGATAGTTCCCAAAGAAACTCCGCCGGAAAATCATAAAATGCCATTAAGCATGCCTAGTGAACTGCTACAAGTAGTCTCCTTGGTTTCCTTCGTTGTAAAGCAAGTCAAGCTGTCATGTCAAGACTCTTGTTGATCTTCTCGCTCATTGCAGACACGGAAGATCCCATGCGATGATCTTGGAAATAGATCACCTCAATATTCCCCAGAAATTAGTTTGAAGAAAAGAACAGAACAAGGTGACGCTTCTGATTGGCTACTCTGCGGAAGTTGACTCCTGGGCAACCATTACAACTGTGCTTGTTGCTCCTAGTAGCGATGCCAGGACCCCCCTAGTAGCTTGTATCACATATCTTCAATCTTGCGTCCATCTGTTGTCAACATAGGTGATCTGGCAAAAAAGATTGTCATCTCGCTCGGGATTTGCCTTCCCTTGGCTTCCAAGACACAAATACCGACTTGTGCACTTGCCGACCTGTCTTTGGGTCTCGCATCGGCTCAAATATCTGCTGAAAGTGGGTGAAGGTATTGCCTGCCCATGGCGAAATCGGTTCAAATGATTTGTTGATTCACATTAATGCAAGGTGTGTCTACGAGTCTAAGAGACTCTACAAAGAAGAACGAAGTTAATCCAAGGTGCCTCGTGTGGCTCTGAAAAGCATGCGGGCAAAGCGGTCCTGCTCTTCTTGATGGATCACCCCTGCAATGTTGCTGAACATCGTCTCGAGGCTTCCTCAGAAAGTGATTGCTAAGCAATCTCCACTCATCCTCAACTTGCTAAAAGAATATGAAAAAATCATGCTTGGCTTTCCCAGATGCGACGAGATGTGCCTCCCTCTTCGTCCAGTAAGGACCTGGAAGCCTCAAACTCGAAGCGATCCTGCACTATTTTGGTTCAGATTTACTTGAATGCAAGCTGAGCAAATCCCATCCCAAAATTGAAAACTAAAACTCCAAAAAGCTGATCCCAACAGAATCCCTTATCGCTACAGTACAGTCCCCAAAAAAAGAGCATCCACACCCAGCACTCTCCATTGCACAGGATCCTTCTGAAAACCCCTCTCTAGGCCTATCCAACGAACCTAAATCATGAAGATATTAATTGAATCTAATCGCAGTCAAGTCCCCAATTTCCTCTTTGCTAGGGTGGATTGCCCAACCGACCTGATAGAACATCACCCAACCGTACTCGGTGCTTCCCAGTCCTCCGGACTTCTCACTGACCGGGAGGAGGCCACGTGTGCCATGGAGGCCATGGCGGTCTGCACCACGTAGCGCTCCTCCAGTGCAGCGTTCCGACGCTCCAGGAGCTTCCCATTGTTCTCCTCGCAAAAAGAGTAGGTAAAATTAGTAACTAGCTTCTTGTTACTACTAGTAAGGCACTTGTTACTAGAAGCGATGCACTTGTTTCTAGTAGCTTATGATTTGCCTAGACTACTTGGAGTGCTTGGAACTTGATTTGTCTCCTAGCTAGGAGATACCCCCTTCCAAACCAGCCCCTTCGCTCGGCTTCCAAGTCGACTAAAATCAACACACTTGGGTCAGCGATTGGGGCTCACCTTATCCCGTCCGCAGACGATCTCTGGTCAGTTCTTCCAGGATCCTCCATCCGGTTCCTCCATTCTTGAGATTAATTTCTTCACAACGGAGCAAAAGTGCTCAGCTGTAAGGAGTTAACATGAGCTAGCACCATCAATCGAAACCCTCGAACTAAAGGCCTTTTTGCTCCTTGAACTGGATGAACTCCTTATGCATCTTGTGTAGTTTTGACTCTACATCGTCCAACTTGTATTCATCGCTGTGGTCCAAAAAAGCATCCACATTGTGCCTTACCGGCGATGCACCAGGCACCTTCAGGCACGGGCAGTAAGAAGGTCATAAAACCTTTGGAATGTTCGTCGATCAAAAAACATCCACCTGCTAGGCACTGCCAGCCAAAAGGATATGTCAAGCACAGCACAGGGAGAAGCGGTTGTTTTATATCTACTGAGGCGAAATCTAGGCGGTGGAAGGCAACACAATGCTGTGCAATGTGTAGATTCTACGTAAGTCGCACATCTGATACTTAGGTGCAACTTACATACACATGCTTGCTTGTCTGTGACTGCGGTATGCGGCTCCCAAAGCTTCCTCAAGGACACGACTTCTCACCTTCGTCAGCTCTTCCTCCAGAAAACGTATGATCCTCTCCATTTCATCTATCCTTTGGATGTACCTCAGCAAAGAAAAAGTCTCTCCACTTGTCACAAACCTTGGACAGCGAGGCTACACAGGCAAGCTAGGACAACTAGAACAGGTATTCGTGACTGGACCAAATATGTACTTAAATCCTAGAGTGAGCAGGAAAATTGCAATAAGTCTAAAATACTATCTCGCATGGGTTCTTCCAAATCAACAGCAAGAGAAAACTAACAAACATGTTCAAGATGTTGAGCAACTTTTTATACGGGCGATGCATGTCCCGGGCGTTCATGTCCTCGAACTGCATCTTTGTATTTCTGCCTGTCAAAGGCAAATAGTTTGTGAAAACACAAATGTTTGCTGTTTGCATTGCCCGAGTAGGAAGCATGCAACAAGTGCATCATTCCGTTTCTGCGCACCTATCAGATCAATAAACTCACGCGCACGGTCCACGGGCACCACCAGCGTTCCATGTTTCATGGGCTCAGATCTTAATAGACCCATGGCGGGCGAGGTGAATTGTGTTTAGGTTCAGATGCAAGTGTACTTGGGTTTATCACCCTGCGACAATAAGAAGGCATGTTGTGTTTCATTGGATCTATGCAAAATGAAGAACAATCAAAGCTCATGAAGGCGACTAAGTCGATTCAAGAACTTATTCAAACTGATTCTGGTTATTGAGCAACTTAAGACTTATTATCATGATAGGTATGAACACAAAGCCACGTAAGTTACTTGAGCCAAAACACATTGCAAGCTCTTTCGACGACCTGGCTATCAATGCCACAAAGCTGCCACAAATCCTTGTCATGGTGGTAAGAGTACAGTAATGGACTTTGCACGACCTGAGAACCAAACTATATCCTCAATGCCATACCTCAGGTATGCACCATACCTCAAGATTGTCAAAACTTCCCTGTTGTATCGTCAATGCCATCTGTTTGCAAAAAGTGTCCCAAAAACTTCGACACAAATTCCGATTGCAATCCGCTAACCCGGCGGGCCGTACTTTTCGTTATGTAAAAGACATCATTGGGTTTGTGCCATCTACTCTGAAACCACTGTGCGTCCAAGGGTCTTTGCAAGCAGGATGGAGTTCATCCGGGACACACGGGTGACAAATAAGTAAGTAAGGAGATAAGCAGAGGACCGACAAAATGGAGTGGGGTTGGGGTGAAGTCTTCAATAAAGTTGTTTTAACCTTGTTAAGCCTTAATGAAACTCAGAAAGTTTCATTGAAACTCTTTGAAATTCTCTGGTTTTCACAAAACAAAGACATGTGCTTCAGCGATCTACACTGCATAGCTTCCCTGAGTTGAACTCACTTTGGGGCATACTCTTTGACCCCTCCTGCTGAGTACCCTTCCAGCAGATGTGGTCCGACATGTGCAGTCCTCGTCCATGACAGCTCCATGTGTTACAACAAACGCAGGTCCATGGCATCTCCACCAGCAACCCGCATGTAACACAACATTTTCCTCTCAAATGCTCCACAAATGACATCAAAGTCTCGTCGTACCTCCCGCACAACTTCACGTGGCAACTGGTTGAAGGGGGCACCTCTGAAGCTCAATTCAGCCAGGCGCCGGTAGAGTGTGACTTGCAAGAATACTCCTACGTGTCGCAACTGCACTGAGGCGTGCAAGCGGCCACTCCTGCGGCAGCATGGCGAGAAGACTGGTCGGTGGTGCAATGGGAGGTAGGGTCTCTGGTCGTGCCTCAGTTGGTTCCTCTGGTTCCTTAAGTGCTATTATGGATAGTGTTTGGAAGCGATGCACTACTTGCATTGCTCTCTGCTCAGAGAGTAGGGCAAGGCCGGAGTCTACTGCTCCTGCCTGTTCGGCATCCGCAGCATCTGTAGTGGCGTCGGAACCATTAGCACTGTCCCTTATCGTTGACTCCGGCATTTGTGGGTCAGCTGCACCCGTTGCTTCTGGGCGACAGGCGCCAAGTCCAACAATCCTGTGGGCACTCCCTGAGGCCCGGCTTGGCAGCTTTGGATTTTACTGCGAGGGGCTTCACCGGCGGCTGCACCGGCAGGGCTTGTTCGGCAGCAGACTTTGATGTTCTCGTTGGGATGTGGAGCTGGCCGAGCCAATTGGTGATGCAATATTTTTTTGCACGAGTCGAGACGCTATGTGTGCAGGTTCTGCACAAGTCACCTTGGTCGAGTTAAGAAGGAGTTACTATACAGGTTGCAAACCAACCAAAGAAAAAAACACCCAAACGCCAACCAACCCAAAACCAAAAACACCCAAAACACAAAACCACCAGAAGAGGGAAGCAACCTGTTGCGCAACTCGTGTGGCCATGGTAGCCGTGTGACAAAAGGTGAGACAGGGGCAATTAATTCCGTAAAACTCTTAGTACTTCTTGTCCCTCAACGAACTGATTCGGGCTTTTAGCATCATCATCAAGAATTTTGGAAAAGTAACGGGAGGCAGATCGAGACACCCCTCCACGGGTTAGAGGCGATGACAAGTTGTGTGCTTGCAATGCACTTGAGAGGCATCAGTGAGCCACTTGGTGATGCAGCTGCCGGATCAACTCCACAAAGAGGAGAAGAGGTGCCTGGCGACAATTCTTGTCGCCAGCATGTGGCAGCTTGCTTCCTTCAAGCTTCGGATGCATGATTTGCAGCACACCCGACTGAGACAGGGGATGGTCATTGCTGTTTTCGGCTCACTATGTTCAAAATCCCAAGGAAAGATTGCGAAGAGCACAATTGGTTGAGCACGGTTAAGCACTAAGGGCTTGTCGTGGGAGAGTGATGCTCAGAGGAGTCGGTTGTCAAACTTACGAAAGTCATGACCTGCACTTGTGAAGAAGAAATTCTTGATGCAAGTTTTGGGCAGATCGTCTCCTTTGCCTCCTTTTATCGACCAGCTTTCGCGTTGAGGTCCCACTGTGGCACAAACTCGAGGAAGGGACAGCTGACCCTGCACTGGATAGTCAGACAGCACCGAGACGCGGGTCTGCCAGGGAGACCCCGGTAGACAAAGGAGACGGGATGAACCAAGACAAGCGGTCCCCCCCCCCAAAGGGGGAGGCGGTGACAAGAGTGCGCTCCATGACAGCGGCTCCAAAATGGCGAACGGGAGCAACAATGACAAAGCAACGTGACCTTGCGTTGCCCTCAAGGAATATTGACAGGCAGGACCCTGTTGACAAGCCTCCACAAGCTCAGCATCTCCGGTATTGCAATTCGAGTGCGGTTGAATCCGTGAAAACACGCACGCCCCTCAGTGATTATGATCAGGAATGTTTCACCAGGGCAAATGTGGCATTCAGCAGGGCCACCAACCTCACCATCCTTGCCTGCCCTTTGAACATGCAAGGAATGCCGGGGGCCTTGCAGGTACTTGCTGCTCTCCTGCATGGTGTTCAAAGCATTGATACCCATGATAGCCACACTGTCGCATTTGACAAAGGCTGAAATTTCCAGCCTGCAACATGGGCCACATCTTCCGGGAGGCACGACAGAGCACGGGCTTTGTCTACGGTCGATGAGATGCCTACGCCGGAATGGCTTGTCATCACAGATGGACAAGAACCTGCACATTGGAGGCTACTCCATAATAGCACTGGCCGTGGACAACGGTGTGGTGGGAAATTTCCAACGGTATCAACCATCCTTGAATGCTGTGGAGCAGCGTACGGCACAGGATTACACCTTTGAAGCTTTGCATCGTATTTACTTTTACGATGCGTGGAGAACACAGCCGGTCCTCTGCGCCCCAGAGTCCAACCCAGTCCTGCCGCTGCATCCTGCCTCTTAACGCAGATGCCCAGGCCTGCCAAACGCCAACCTCGCCTGAGGCAGCCGATGCCGTCATGACAGATGAGAAGGCAAAAGCGACATTGTCTCTGTCCTCAGCTCCTCTACAGAGCCGTCCACTCTGCCACTCCCCCATGGGAGACAAAGAAGCGGAAGCCAATCCATTGGAGGAAGCGGGTGACTGCCTCAGCAATCGTCCAGCGTCCTCCAGCTCACGACCAGTCAATAACGAAATGCTGGAGGAAAATGGAGAGGATTGTAGTGCGATGCCACTGCAAGGAGTTGATTCCCAGGATGACAGCTCCGCGTCGCATTCCTCAGAGTCGCCGATAAAGCGAAGACCAGGGTTAAAAGCAAGTGCAGGCAGGGGTCAATCCAAGAAGCTCCGGCAATCAGCAGATCAGGCTTCCCAGCCGCAAAGGCAGCATCCCGGAACATGGTCAACAGCCGGTCACGCTTGAGGACCTTGCTGACCCAGCTGACCAAATGCAAGAGTCCCCAATCAGTAAGGACCCAGCTTCGCCATGCAGCCCGAAGAGGCACAGAAACACCCCCAGGCCATGACAGAAATTGATCCAGACAATGACCAAAAGAATGTAGAAAGAGAAAGCACTGCTGCCACCGACATACAGTTAGAAGCAGAACAGAGAGCCATGCAGGCGCTACATGCACTCCAATTAGCCTTCCATGCAGCTGCCGACACTGACACGAAAGGAATGGGACCACCCTCGCTACAGCTAAGCAGACGTGCTTGAGATTTTGGGCATAACGTCTTGGCAGAAGCACATGCCTGTCGAGCTGCCATCAACCTTGCTTTTGAGTACTATGTCTCCTGCCTGTCAAGAGGCATCCCTATAGACAGTGTTGTTGTGCAGGGAAACATCTTGCCTGTCATTAATTACCTTCAGCACAAAGGAAGAATCAAAAAACCCGCTGTTGTCGCCATTTTAGAACAACGCCAGCAATTGCTTGCCCGAGCGCCTTGTCTGTTCCGCCTTGTCTATCTGCCAAGGGAGTGCAACCGTCTAGCAGACTATTTTGCTGGTCAGGCCAGTGCTGGGGCTAAGGAAGCAGCAGGCAACCCACTTGTTCCCTTACATCATGCGGCGCTCCCGCCGTTTCAATTAGCACAAGCTTTGGGTTTCATCATTGAGCAGGGAGATGCATCGCAAGTCCCTGCTTTCGTCCTTACGGAGTGCCCTTCCCCTACTCCTCGGGAGATGCACACACTACTCCGGCTACACCCGCACTACAAATGGGTTGCAATGGACTATATTGCCCTAGCAGTAGCGTCCTCTCATTGCCTCAGCGTAGGGTACAAGCCCACAGTTGATGCCTTTGGAGGCCGATTCTACTCAGTTGGCAATGCAGCACAGCGGCTGCCACGGCAGGTTCGGCTACTTCTCTTTGGCAACTCTCATTGGGAGATGGATATTAGTGGAGCGCACTATGAGCTTATGAGACGGCAATGCAAGGCAGCTGAGGTTCACCTAGCATTACTGCCAATCGCGCAAGCGAGAGACTACCTCAGAGGAGCTTTTCGGGCACACATTGCAGAGGATGAAATTGGCCCCCTGGTAAAGACATGGCCACTAGTCATAATCAACAGTGCCACTCCGCAGGAGGCAATTGAGTACCTCAAGAAGCGTGTACAAACGGAGCTGTCACCCCATCTGGTGAGCTTTGCTCGGGAAGTGTTTGCTGCCAGCCGTTATGCTATGCATCACCCTCCCTCATGGTGCCCTACCGGTA